AGTACATGCGCTGGGATTGACAAATATACATTTTATTTGGATTTTAAAGGCGTTTTAAGCTCCACACCCCAAGTGTCTGTGGTTTTGTAGAAATGAAATAATTCTATCATATGCATAAAATAAAAAGTAGGAAAAAACTGTAAACTCAACTATAAATTATATTTTATCTTTTAAAAATTTCACAGCCAAGTAAAAAAATAAAACACGAAAACTGACTCCACGCTTTGTTTGCATAACTATATATAGTTGTATATTTTACCAATTCAAGACATATCTGTGAAATTATGACTCCTTATCAACAACAATACTGAAATGGATGTTTTAAGTCTGCCAGGGCGGACAGTGTTTTGTCCCTTTCTTGTATAAGAAGAGGAGTCCTGTGATGCATATATGTGGTCGCACGGTCATTTCCATTCCAACATGTCCTCGATGTGTGTATGTTGTCACATGATAGAAAACGTCTAACAAATTGTCAATACTTTCAAAAAAATTGAAACGGCCTTTAAACTTTTTATTGAGAGTAGCAAAGTTCTAATCATGTCTTTCTTTATTTAAATATCACCTTATTATGAGTAACAGATAACATAACTCTTTATTAATACGGAGCCCCTAAGGTGACATTTACGACTCTTTTTTCCCGGAAAGTTATTCTTTTGTACGAAATATAAAATCGTAATTACGAATTATTAATTCCTTATTACGAAATATTGGTTCGTTTTTACGAAATACTGATTCGTTTTTTATGGAAGTTTTATTCATAATTAAGAAGTACGAGGGATGATCAAAAATTATCCGGACTTTGTAAATAATTTTTTAACTGATAAATGAATTTACATAAAAATACACGGACAATAAATCGGAATCTTTCCCCTATATGATACAGAAAAAACAACAAAAAATATTAATAAAGAAAAAAAGTTATGCTTTCATTGGCATGTACAGTTAAAGCAATGCGGCGCACGGTATATCTGAAAAATTGACATTAACGACGTCACAAGCGTATTGTCCTTAACGGAGCAGCTTTTTTGCTCATACACAAAGTAGGCCAATATGTGGTACACATGTTATCCACTGCCTAATATATATATCTCTGTACAAGTTGGTATAATGTTGTATTGTTATAAAACGGATGATGATAAAGAGCTCCTGTAATTACGCAAACTCCCGTTCTTTCCTATTGTAACATGATTGCTGGAAAAATCGCACATGCAATAAACTAGATTATGTATTACAAATAATGTATAATAATGTTGCTGAATGATAATGTATCATACATACGAGAAAATAAAAAAATAATACAACTAAGAACAAAATTGTCATTATTTTAAAATAAATAAAACGCATAGCCGAATTTGAACCGTGACTGTTAAATTGTTGACACAATTTCTCCATAAGACTACTGCGTAAATTAATAAAATAATTTATACAATTGTAAACCAAGAATACAATATATGTAATTAATGCATTAACTTTTATCATTTTAAAATCCTTAGAGTTGACTGCACCGTCCCGTAGCTACTGTCGAACATCACCGACAATGTCCGCAGTCAATCGATTGTCAATTTTCAACGTCTCGGCGATTGACGTCACCAACGTCCTTGAAAATTTAATTGTTCTGTTTCTCCCTTACTTGTTTTCTATTTGTCTATTACCCTTTCTTAATAATTTATGCTTATCAAAAACTATGCCGTGGCTTACTGGAACTTTTCTCTTGTTAGTCATAATCCTTTTCTACGTTTTAAACAGTTTCTCGCCTTACTTTTGACAAACTTTTCTTATTGATCGATTTCCGAGACGTTCCAACGACATAGTTTTAACGCGAGTATTTTTTTTAACAAGTGACCTTTGAATTGTGATTGCAAATATAAATATGATTTAAATGAAGTCATTTTTTCTGACACGTCAAAGATATGGTTGATGACGTTTTGGCGTATTTTGAAATCCAATTTAGCCATATTGTAAAATATACGCAGCATTAAGCGCCGGATGACAACGCAAATTTACGCACTGCGCCGGGTGTGCGTTACCATGGTTTTTGAATTCGCTGTTACGGACAAACTATTTGCGTTATCAGATTAGATATAGCATCAGTTTACAGGTATTGTTTTACGATTAAGTGTGATATATTACAATAAGTGATAGGTTGAAAATTCTTCAATTGACAGTCACAGTCCTGTTTATTTTTGATCAGCCCTCGTATTAATTCGTTTTTACGAAATATAAATTCGTTATTACGAAATATTAATTCGTAATTACTAAATGTTAAATCTTTTTTTACGAACTATTGATTCAATTTCACGAAATATTAATTCGTTTTTACAAAATATTAATTCGTTTTTACGAAATCTTATTGAAGGTCATTGTGGGCTTTTTAAAAAACCTACTTACCTCGAAATCAAAAGCTAAAAATAATAAATATATTCGCAAAATTCCCCATACCTTCAATTAATAGGTTTACAAAACGACATAAATACAAAATTGTTGTGGATGGAAGCAACAAGTCAAGAGTTGTAAATGCAGTATACAGTCCGTTTTAAAGGGATTATCAGGCAAGTAAATGGCAAAAATAAAATGACCTTATGTACTCAAACCACGTTAAAATGACATTTTGTAAAGTCCCAGCATGGATTTCTGTATATATTCTATATATTTCAGGTTTGAAGCTTAAATATATCCATTTATGTTGACCTAAATTTTAACGCCAACAGAATCACCGAGTAGTTTGAAACAAGTCATGTGATTTGAACAAACCCTGGAAGTTAAATTACAGCTATTGTGGATATTGTATGATTGAAACAAGTGTAAGTAATTCATTCGACATATTCTTTAACGTTTCCAGAGTTCACTATTAAAACTATTGTGAAATCTTAACACACTAACCTGACCCCGTTAGGAAACAACCATTTCATTATTTACAAGAAGAAAAGTTTTGTTCCTGTCACTGCCTAATGTATTCATCTTTAGGACAATTACAGAATAATAAATGAAAATTAAAAACCAAGAAATTAAAATTTTACCTTTGTCTCCCCTTAAATTGAAAAAGAGTGATCATTGAAATACTTTTATCAAAATGCGCATAATTATAAGGAAAGTGGACTTAATTTATTTTCTGTATGCAGGCATTTAGCTTGCAGACTATTAAACAATTCATCAATCAAGGTTAAAAATATCACCTAATTCTGTCATGTATGTTAATGTCTTAATATTTCCCTGTCCTTTTCGACGATCTTGATTGTCCTTACTGATGAATAACAGCTGTCAAATTATCTTATGTATTTACGGAACTAGGGTATCTCAAACTGATGAAAACTCAAAATGTAAAATTAAAGAAATAACAATTGAGAAAGGATCAGATGGTCATAGAAATTTTCATAATTATAATATGGATATTTTGAATCTTCCTTAACTTGCCTATTATTATTTTTCAAAGAAAAGAACATAAACATGTGCTGGTATTTTATGTGTGGGTTCATTTGTGGTTGCAACTTAATAAATGAAAGCAAATTCAAGTTATCTAAATATGTTATGTACTTTCTTAAATGTCTCTTAAATAATACAAACTTTAAGTAAATTATAGAGTTGGAGACTTAATTAGAAACTTTTATTACATAGGGATAAGCAAATCCATAAATAGATTTATCACGTACAGATCCACTATTCTAGGCCCGCGATTTATTGATCCTTGGTGTTGATAGATTTCCGCCAATTTCTTTTAATACGGCAAGGTAATTACATGTTCATCCATTACAGATAATTCCTAACATCGTCTTAATCTGTATTCTTACAAGTTGTTTTTCGTCCCTTCCTTTGTTTCTCGTAACGAAATCAAGATAACATGGCGGAATGCGTATCGGTAAATTTTCTTTTGTCAAACACGTCAGAAAATACAAAATATAGACTAAGCCAGAGCAAAACCAATCGTACAACAAGCATTTAAATTAATTTCTTAAAAACAAATAGTTACGAAAAATGCAAAATATTGTTCAGTGAATTGAATAACAATCCTCAACAGTATGAAATACAGAATAGCGAAAACCAGAATCCCTAAAGAAAGCCCAACCCGGCAATATTGAAACTGTTGCAGGCTCTATTTGATTGATCTTGCTAATAAACGGTACTGGAAAGTGAAAGTTACCGCCCACGTCCCCTCGCACCGGCTGAAGCAGAACACGGAAAGGGTGAAACTTTGTATTTAGGAATATCTGCAGATGTGTTCATACGGCGGTTACTATGGAACCTTCAATATGACACGGTAGTGTCATCCTATGGAAATCGGCGTATGGTCCCCAAGTAAAAGTCTTGCAACAGACAGTAAATACGTCCCGGTAATAAGATGTGCGATTTTGAAATTAAAAAAGACAACATGTAACGTATTGGTCTCAGTTTCCATTGTATTATTATTTCATCCAATTAAAGCGTATTTGCAAATACTATTTAGTGTATTCATATTTTTTATTTTCTTTGCAATTTCAAGATCTCGAAAAAACTCCCGAAAATGTGAACTTGCGGGATAAAATATGATGCATATTGTAAGTGTTTCAAGTCATTATTTTCTCGCTTTATTTAACGTTCCATGACTGAATGACAATATCTTTTTCTACATACTCACTTCTTGACCATCCGCTTTAAAAATATATGCTACATATACCACATATTTGATATATTTGGATGATAGTTGATAACTAAAACAAGTCGCAATTGTTGATATCTATAATAATAAAACTGATCCATACGATTAAATATTATGTTTGCAACAAATGATTTTCAAACGTGATCAAACACGTGATCATTTGTCAATTTAAGAAATTATAGAAATCTTTATTTTTAGTATAAAACCGGAAGTCTGTCTACAACACAAAAGAAAATCTCCAATGCAAAAATAACGACTTATGACTGGAAATAATCTTACAATTACGAAAAACCAAATATATCCCTTTGAAGAAATATTCAATGACAAACATTTGAGAGTTATATTTTATTTCAAGAAAGAAAATAAAAAATCAACCATAGCAGAACAAAGTAAAACAACTATGAAAAACAGCAACAAAGCTAATAGACAAATCGTGTGCAATCTTTAAGTTTTAACCAAACTGATTGTGATAGTGCAAAAAATGTATTGGGACCCTGATCATCTTGTATAATAAGATAAAAATCGTCGGTTCGAGCAAGACAATGTTCTCTGAAGTACTGGTTTAAAGCAGCATGCCTCCAGATTTATGCAAATTATCATGAAAATTTTGAAAAATTATTTTAAAGTACTATATTTTGAAGTGAACAAAGAAAGTAATTTACATATTGCAAACGGCTTGTACAATCCACTTCAATTACCCAAAGAGGTCAAAATATGCGAAAATAGCCCTTACTGCGTTAGTAACGCAGTAGAAATATGGTGATAAATATTACAAAATTAGTCTTCAATCGCACACAACATGTGAACTATGACTTTAATTTTGAATCCTTTTACGTTTCTTAAAACTTTAGGACATTTTGTTCAAGTTTGATTGTCTTGAAATATTGTGGCTCATCTGGAGGTATGCAGCTTCAACCCTATCTTTCGTTCACGCATTTTTAAATGTTTCTTTGTTGATCGCCCTTGCTCCGAATCTGTATGAGTATTTATCTTTGCTAATATGAATCACATAATTAAAGCGAGTCTGCTATTTTCATGTAATTTTGTTGTGATTATTGCTTCCGATGGATCACTTTGTTTCCATTTTTTTATCTTTCAGTAGTATGGTTGCATATTGATTCAAATGTACCTTTCAACTAAGGTGTTTCGAGAAATTTGCTTAAAAGTAAAAGAATAGATAAACTAAGTAAGTAAAAAGAGAGGAAAGTGTAATATTACAACAATAATTTTTCTCGGTCATTTATCTTTCCGATCCGATTCCATTCTTTCTCAGAAACATTACATCCTACTTCCTTGCATGTTTGAATTTGAACCCTTGTTTGAATGCTTGTTTGAAGCGCTTCTGTCGGTCATCCATGTACCCGAAGTCGTCACCGTTTGCATAGCCTGCATTGTAATCATCCGCCATATCATCAAGTTCCAAATAATCTGAAACAAATTAGAAATGTTCGAATAAGTACAAGGTCTAAAGAGCAACTATCAAAAAGAGGTATACGTTACGGAACTAGTACGAAAAACAAATGAAGATTTAAAGGAATTTCAACCAAAGGCGATTTACAACTCCGTATCACTATCAGCTGATTCTTAAGTGAGCTATACAATTTAAATGGTCGGACAAAAGAAAGAGATATTGTCTTTATCACATATATTATTAATCAATCAGTCAATCTTTATTCAGGAATCGGCATAAATATGCTTTTGGCCATGACATAATAACTTATGAATCTATACAATAATAATTCAAACGGTTAATCAAACACATAACACATCAACATTGCAATACAATGTTGATAAATAAACAATTAAACATCGTTTGCCTGTGCAAATTCATTGTTTTTGAATAGTTTTACTACAGTTATTCACTAGCGTAACAAATTTATTAAGTAAAGGCCAAGATGTTAAATGTTTCTGAAGTCATTCTTTTCTGATATCATTATATTTTGAAATGATATTCAGATTCGACCAGTTTCAGATAACAAAATGAACATAAGTTTTTATTTATCTCTATATTATTAATCTACCAGCTTCAATTGCAAAATGTGAAGGCAAACGAAATTAAGTTAACTGCATTCTACAATATATCATTAATAATATCATTTAGATATGGTGCAAATTCTTAGTTTAATCCAAAACTTAACGGAATATTCAATATCTAATAGATAACGGGAATCTTCCGATTTCTACTTCATGTAATGCAGCAGCATCTAACACCCAGTATAATTTTACAAAACTATATATGTTACTTATCTATCTTTTAATAATTTTATATTCCCGAAAGTTAAGAACCATACATGAAAATTGGAACAACAAGTCTATCAAACAATTCTAATTTGATTTTTAAATCAATGCCTTTCCTCTTAATAATTAAAAAATAAATTAGTCATGGCTTTTAGCGCCTAGTCACACAAAAAAAACTCCGAAGATTTCCTGTATTAATAAGTTTTATACATAAATAAAAAACAACCTGTCCACGTCTTCAATAATTTCATTTATAATAAACCATTTAAAATCATGTCTTGTTTTCTTTTTTTCAAATACATTTATTTTTTGTCTTACATTTATTTTTATTTTCCATCTGACTGGATACAAGTAAAAACTATCAAATACAGCTTGTAAACTATGTTCATGTGTCTATCAGTTGTAAAGAAAATGCCATATCATCGGCAAATTGCAACCGATGAAATTTGCAATAAGTCATTATCTTTCAAATTATCAAAATCTGGTGAATCGCTTACAGCATTAACAAAAAGTGTAAACAGCAAAGGTGAGAGTGGTTCCCATTGTTTTAAACCAAGTAACATTCACAAATTTACACCTTATACTAATATCAACTAACGTTGTACACAATGAATTACTGTACATGTACAAGTTAATTCATATATTACTTAAAAAAAACTTAAAACAATTAAGAAAACAAATGAAACATTATTTATAATTTTATAATTAGAATAAAACCGCGTGTGTCGATTATCAGTTTTCTTAACCTGTATAACAGTTATAGGTACCAAACCATCAAAGATGCAAAAAATTAACAAAACAAAAAAACAACAAAAAAAAAACAAAACAAAAAACAACAACAACAAAAATAAAATACACACCATTGTTCTTTTAAGGTAAAATTTATTAAAAACTTACTTACCGTCGGGTAGTGCCTTGAAACGTTTTTGAAATTTTGTAATCGGTCGCCATGCAAATATTTGCGTAACGGCCAACAAAAGCACGAAGCACACTGTTGTGTTCATTTTGAGTAACTCAAACCAGTTCTAATTTCAGACTGAGTATAGCTACATATGATTTTATCTCAAATATATAGTATTTTGATGATATCTAATGGGACGTTAAATTATTCATTTCTTAATTAACAGTAATGGGGCCTTTTTGAAATATCCACAGGGATAATAAAAATGAAATTGATACATATTTTCCTCTTTATTTTACACAAATATAACTCGTTACACTTACTTTTTTTAATTTACATAGTTTACGTTCTGGTTCAAACTCATTTCGTTACTTTCATTATTTATTACTTAATGGACAGCAAAAGACCTCATAAATGAGTACTAGGACATAAAAAAATGAAATTCACTTTACACATTTATAATTTAAGATCAATTAGGTTTATTTTTACGTAAACGGAATGGTCCATAAATTATAAATCAAACTCACACTGTTATTGCTTTAGGCAATTAGCAACTATATTGGAATATCGCATGAAATATAAATTTTTATATTTATTATAGTAAGTTATGAAACTTTTTATGACTTTTTATTACCTTTGCTGTAATTGCATGTTAGAAAATAATTTTATATATGAATATTTTACTAAAAGTGACATTATGCCAATTCAAAGATATAAAATGAGTGAACATATGAAAGTTAAAATAAGTTTATATTTTGCCATAATTTCTTTTAATTTTACAATTTTCTCATGATTGATAAAAAAATCAAATGGTCCAAGTAAGTTTCTGTAAATATCCTTATCCTGTGATAATGATAATACGACAACTTGACCATAAACATAAATAAATCATACCAAGTTGATGTCTGCCCACTTCTTGACAAATGTAAGACAACAAATAATTACTGAAAATGACTGCAGCTGTGTTTCTTTTTTTTTCTAGAACACACGTAACTGAATTTAAATTGATGGCACTTTGCCAAAAGATACATCTTATAATATTTTACAAAAAAGAAATAGAAACCTTTATTTTATACACCACAATACGTTTTATTACTAACGATGAGCAGCAAAATTTTGCAAAAATGGGCTGATTAATGTAATATCAAATTTACTTAATGTTATAATTCCTTAATTAAAAATAAATGAATACATTGCTCCATCTCAGAATGGACAATAATTTGCGTAAATATATTAAAACAAACACAAATTCAGTTCTTGTTGTTTGTTGTATGTGTGAGTGTGTATGTGTTATTTTTCCTGCCAAGATATAGCTCGAACCCGTTCCACCAATCACTTGCTATTGTCGACGATATAAACTACCGAGTGGGATTTTTAAACATGTTTGTAATTGTCTATAAGAGAAAGATTTACAAAATTACCAATTTACAACCTACAACAACTGATAAGCGAGCAATTTATTGCCGCCATATTAGTCAGTTTGTGGCTATTATGAGATGTTGGTTTCTGCAATACCTTAATCTACGTCAATTATAATGAAATTCTCTGGCAATTCTAACTACCAGCAAATATTTTAACTGATTGAATATCAAAGAATCCAGATAAAAAAATCACGCATGACAACCGATCAAAGCAGCAAGCATATTTGGCATGTAGCGACCGACCGTCTGTGTAACTGCACCATAAACAAGTGTGCGTCGACTCTATGTCAAATCGCTTACTTTGTTAATGTGTCGTTCAATTATTTAGGTTCCCATTTGACTATTATAACATAAAATTATTTCGTTTATAGATAGATAGTTATTTATTTATGATAAATAACATATGGCAAACATCAACTTATTTTTGGTAAAAATTATTGTTTTTGACATGAATTTTATGCATATAAATTATGAATGCTCATAACAAAATTAATTACTGAGTTGAAATTGTTTATGAAAATAGATTCCAAAGTAGGAAAAGTAATAAATTGTTAAATGTTCTATGACGCGTTAATGCACCTCCTCGCTAATTGGTCATGGAGATCATACATGTCAACCGGCAAAATTAATGTAAAGTAATTTAAAACAAGAATTATCTTTAAAAACGATTCTCGGCCGAACTATTACTGGGTTACTTGCATATCGTATCTTAGTAAACATGGAAAAAGAATCCTAAGAATTATGATGTTGAACCAAGTATTGAATTTTACGTTTAAATTTTTGAAACATTAAAATCATATGCATATGTTAACAAATACAAAGTATTTTAATAGAAACAAAATCTTAAGTCTAAAGTATTTTTTAAAAGCAAAGGAAGTAAATAAAAACTATAAACACAACTTTTTATATCGTACTCAATTTTTTTCTTCTCAGTCCATTTTTACTGTCATGTATTTTTTATCTTTAATATAATTGTGAACTTCGTTTTAGTTTAAAGATAAAAACATTTAAGTTATTGAAAAAAAATGTTAAGAAGTACAAAATGGAAGTATGTAAGCTGAACGCGATTTTTAGAGGTGGCGTAATATAATTTCATATTTTTTTTCAGTTGCGACATGAATAGTCCATAATTTTCTTTTCTGAACATTTGCAAATAAACAAAAGCTAAGAGAAAATTGAAATAGCGTTTATAATTTATAAAACGGTTTGCTGCTAATGTAGTGCACGTACTTCTGCAAATTTATTTGACATTTGATACCAGAAATATCAGGTGTGAGCTGGCAAGCTGATGTTAACCTGTAGAATTACTAATTAAAAGCAAAATCAATAATACAATTCTAGGTTTTCTGTCCTTTGCATTACATAGGAAATGTGCCATTTTCAGATGAACTTTCTAAATGTTGTATTCTATTTTTGCAAAATGTATACCATGTACAAAAAATATTAATTTTATAATATTAATTAAATAAGATGGTGTGTAATAAAAGCGAACGCTTTGATTGGTGAAGACAAATGTCGTGTTATTATCAGAACTTCTATAATGTTGATGCAGTATCTGAAGCCACTAGCGCCATATTTACTTCCTTTGGCAGAAATCAATAGAATGAAATCAGTTATCGGTCAGGGGAAGACTATTTTAATGCTTATATCTAAAGTTTTAGTTATTATTCAAGCCATTTAAGGCTGTATAAATTATCCTGGAACGCAAATTTTCAATCATATGAGTAACAAGAAAACAGCACAAAAATCTACAAGTAGTTGATGCTTATTGCATTTTTTTCCCATTGTTTTTTATAAACAACTTGTTAAGTAATTGTTAGGTTTAGAAAAGCAACTAAAAACTAAAGAAAAAAGAAGAAAAAAACCAGGCAGAATTGAATATAGGCTTCGTTTCATTGAGTCTGTTCATACAGGTAGTGGTAGAGGTAAAGTGTAATCTCCAAATGTTTCAAACTTGATTCCTTGGAAAACGTTATCTAGGTCCATTGTCTTCATATTTGAAACAATTGTTTTAAGAACATAATCCTTTAGAATGTTTTGATGCAAAAATGTCCACTAACTTTGTCAAAGAATAAGTCTGACAGTTTACTACAAATTTACAAATAACAACAAAATTGATTGCATGTCTCTTAGTATAAGCTCAGTTAAACGACACATAAATTGAACTTTTACTCAAATATACTTTTTAAACAGCTTGGTATTACTGTGAGTGTTGCGACTCTACACCCCCTAATGACTTTGTCAATTAGGAGACTCCACTGACTTTTCAATGTCAGATGCTTTAAACCCAAATTGCCGACATGACCTTCACATATATTTTAGTTTGCGTTTAACAGCCACAGACAACAAAATTGTTTAATACAAGTATTCTACCGCGTAATCTAAGCCCTGTATTTTTTTATTCTGCAAATTTAAATATACAAATTCAGTGAAGTCAATTCTCATGATGTTTTTTTTTTCTCTACTAAAATTACTTTAAATGATAATTTAAAGTCATGCATTCTTATATCAAATCACGAAGAACTAAATAATGAAAGAAGAAAAAAAACATCATGAAAATTGACTTCACTGAATTTGTATATTTAAATTTTCTGAATAAAACAATACAAGGAATAAGTTTTGAAGATAAATTCGCTGTCACTTAGAATTTAATCAATTAAAACGACACGTATCAAGATGCGTTTGAAACGATACCACCTGAGACATGACCTTCTGTATTAATCATCGCAAAATATTTCCTTTAAGAATTCTATTATTGGAAGTCATAAAACTAAAATTATTGTCTCACCAGATGCATAATCTAAAAACATTCCTGGTGTTGACAAACATATCCTGAATGTATTGTTATATCTTGTTTAAGACTAAATAACGTCTTTGCATCAAAGATATCATAATTATTATATGAATTAAAAATCTAATTAAAGAAATGTTGCATCATGTTGCAAAAAAAATATTATTACAATTCTAACTCCATAACCATAAAATGTAAAAATAGAATTTAAAATGTTCTTTTTGTGTAAAAAAAGAAAAAGAAGACACCGCCTATTATATCAACAGATATTGTGCCTGATAGTACATGTTGGTATTCATTTTTTGGAAAATAGATAATAGCAGACAGTAACGGTTTATTCCGTTGCAGATACATGTACATCATTGTTTTTATGATCAATTATTAAATAAAATATTATAAAAATCCTTTTGGCCGTTCAGGACGATTATTTGGTTTTATAGTATATCGAAGTATATCGAAAGTAAAATACAAAAAAAAAATCATTACATCTTAACATAGTAGCATGTACATTAAGACGTACGGTTATTTCATGACAATGGCGACACATACAATGCAGGATCAGAGATTAATTTAAGTTTACATACAACATTCGAAACATGAATGATATTGTTTAAAGTTTAACTACTGTAAAAGTACAATACTGTTTTTGTGTCTTGTTCCGATAAAAACCTTGTATGTTTCAGGCACTGTTCTAAAAATAGAATTCAATTTTGATTACATCGTGTTTCTGTCGTTTGGTTGACATCTGTGGCAGATATAAGTAATAAAATGTTACCGAAGAAGAAGCTACTGACAATACTCAATGTTTTCCTAAGATTTCAGGTTACTTATTGTAATTACCTTTCGTGAATTGTTTTAATATTTTCTCAACGCGGTTTCGAGTGTAATTATCATGGTTTTCATTATTTAAGAATCTGAAAATAAAAACGATATGTGATAACGCAAAGGATATGACTATCGAACGGCTATAAAATGATTTCTTATTCTTTTCTAAATGTTTTTGTAAACTTAAGTGTAGACATGA